GGCCGAGGCGGCGGAGGCCGGCGCCGCCTCGGGGTCCGCGCCAGAGCCGCTGCAGCTCATCGGGCCGGTGGGAGAGGCGGCGAACAGAGCCGCTTCCGCTTCCGCTCACGTTACGCACACACACCATGGGTGACGTCACACGCCTCGCGACTCGCCGCGCCCACGCCGTGTTCGCCCTCCGCCGTAGGTTTTCCGCCTCCCGGTTGCCCATCCTCCCGCTGGATGACATGGACTGAAGGTCGGGGACCAGCCTAGGAGAACGGCGCTGGCCGCGGACATTCCACCCTCTACCGCGCCGTATTCAAGTGTTCCGCTGGGATAGGAACCCTTGAATGTCGAGGACTCTCTTCGGTGGGTCTGGGACCCCCTCATTCAGCCTTACGCCTAAAGACCTTGCTTTGGGGCTCCTGGGCCCAGCCCCCTCGACCAGGAGGCCTGCCAACCTGCATCCTTTATAGCTCCCTCATTCAGTGTTTTTAAGGCTTAGTAATGGAGTTGGAAAGCCCCCACTCCCCGCCAGCTGCCGGGAGAAGTGAGGGCAGCGGGATAGCGCACACAGTGTTGCTGTAGATGGTGGAAAGAGGTATTTCAGCCTGGGTAAACAACATATGCAAAATCACAGCGAGTGAAAAAGTGGGGTTTTAAATGCAGCAAACATTTATTTGATTCCTATTTGCCAATCCTGAGCTAGGGCCTGGGAATACAAAGTTAAGTAGGACAAGACTCTAGTCCTCTAGGCACCAATGGTCTTGGAAAGGGAGGCAAACAGGTAATCTGGCAATTTCAATGTTATGTGAGATTTACAATCCTAGAGGTAGACACAGAATGCAGTGCAGCAGAGGAAGGGAACTAACATCTGCTGCTTACTTCTGTGTGTCAGGTGCTCTATCAACTTGATTCCATTTAATTATTCCCTGCTTGTTATGAGAGGCAGGTATCGATATCCCTACTTAACATGAGAAAAATGCCTCAGGGAGATGAACTTACTTGCCCAAGGTTCTCTCCTAGTCTATATCAGAACCAAGAATCAAACTGGTTTGGTTTCAAAAATCTAGGATTTTTCTGACATGCCAAAATCAACTAATTTCAGGAAGCCAAAAGGTTCACAGGAGAAGGTGACTTCTGAGCTGATTCTTGAAAAAATCCTGGAAGTCAACCAAGCAAAGGGGAGTTAAGAGTAGTGTTAAGGGCACAGAATGTCTTGAGCAAGAGTGAAAGTGTGGGGAGGAGAGCAGGGGAGGATAAACAACTTGTTACTCAGGAACAAACAGCAAGGAAGGGATCCAGTTTGTGAGTCATGGTAAAAAGACTGAACTTTATCCAGTAATCTTTGAAGGGTCTTAATCAAGTAAATGACCTGATGGGATTTGCATTTTACTCTGGAAGATGGTTTAGGGAAGGGCAGAACATAAGGACACTTTTTGCAAGGGCCTCCTACAGTTCAGAGGAGAGACAAGATGGCTCTAAGCTAATGTAGTAGCAGTGGAGATGGAGAGAAGCAGACGAGTTCTAGATATACTTAGGAGACATACTTGGCAGGACTTGTGGATTGATAAAGATGTATTTAAGAGGTGAAGTCAATAGGACTTGATTGAAGGTGGTGATGGGGGGAGGTGAAAGAAATGGGAGTCTAGGATGACACTTAGGTTTCTGGCTTGGTTGGAAGAAGCGTAGTATCATTTACCAAGAAGAAACAAAAGAGAACAGTTTGGGATTGGGAAGGAGGGAGATCAAGTATTGAGTTTCACACATCTTGCATCTGTGGTATCAATTACTGTTGGATAGAAAGTCTGATTTGGGAGATGGTGATGGCTGTGGATGCCAGTGATTGATTTCTTCCAGGGGACAATGGGTAGAGGGACGAGAGCAAAAGACTAAGGATGGAGCAATGAAGTGCACCAATATTCAATGAGGAAGAAGAGAAAGAGAAGGAGGAAGAGGGAATGAAGGAGGAAGAGAGAATGGTCAGAGGAAAAGTTAAGCCCTGGAAGCTAAAGAAGGAGAGAGAGTGAGCAACTATGACAGAGAGCCCCTAAAGCGGAAACTGTGACGTGTGCACTGGATGAAGCAGCGGGGAGGCCATTGTTTCTCAGTGTCGGGAGGAAAAAGTGAAAAAATGAAAGCAGAGGTTTCGTTGCAATGAATTGAGAGAACATGAGGTGGAATAATGTATACAGACTGCGTAGACAACCCTTTGGAAAAGTCTGGTTGAAAAGAGAAAGAAGAAATGGGGGGGGGGGGAGGCTCCCAAACAGTACTGGTTATAGCATCTGTAGAGGAACCTGAGGCAGGAGTAGGGAGACCTGAGTATCATGGAGCAGGGTAGCATTGGGAATCAAGTCAAGCTCACAGCATTTCAGGGTTAGGGAGATAAACTATCTGCAGCAGTCAACAGTTGAGGGTTCAGCAGGGCTTCCAACTGCAGAATAAGGGACCGAGCCGCCAGCCGTGGGGCAGGGGACAGGCCCATTCTCTTGGTAGGAAAGGGTCAAGGGTTGATTAGTGTCTTCAGTAGAGCTGGGAAGTTGGGTGTTCCCCAGCCTGTCACAGGATCCCAGCCAGGGCCAGAGCAGAAACCCTCACCCTGCACCTCTTCATTCAGACAGGACTCATGGCAGCCACGGGTTACCTAGGGAGAAAGTGGGCATCAGCTTTGGGTCTGCTGGTCCCAGTACTAATAGACTGCACTCCCTCACATTGTATTCACATCCCAGGGGCTCTCCCACCCCGTAAGAACTGCCCTCAAGTTCATTTTAGCACTCCCCATACTCTTAGGAAAACGTCCGCCCCCTTCCATTCCACACTCACATCAAAGAGTCCTGTCCCACGCTGCTGGTAGAGCCTTGGGTTGAGAAAGCCAAGAGAAGGGTGGCCACTGAGAATTCTGTGTTCATTTATCAGGGCTAGGAGACCCCCAAACACTGGAGTAGAGGCCTGCAAGGGTGAGGGTGTAAGTAGAGGTTAGGGGTTCAGAGTGATTGGACTTTGGGAGAGGGATGTTTGAAAGGACCAGAGGTCTCTGAGGAGTCAGGGGTTCTGGGTGCAAGAGTAGTTGCTGAGTGGGGGTTTTGGAGCCAGGCTGATTCTCACCGAGGTGCCAGACACCCATGGAATGGGCACATTGTTGCTGACCACCCAGTAGCCATCAGAGAGTGCAGCCACATCTGGGTAGGCACGGCCACTGGCGTTGAAGTAACTGGATGGCGGCAAATGTGGGCTGGAGCTCAGGAACTGGGATACAGCTTCCTCCTGAAAGGCATTGCTGAGTGAGTCTTGTCTGCTGAACTGAGGATCCCCCCTACCCATCCACCCACACAAACATATGCGTACCTGGTATGAAGGCCGTGGGAACACATTGCTAAAGCCACCACCACTGATATAGTCAACAACTTCATTTGTGACTCGGAAAGGATTCTGGAAGGATGTGCCTCCCACCGTGGTGACATAGGGGCTGAGGGCAGAAGACAGCACTCAGATCGTAGGGGTCCCAAGGGGACCTCCAAAATGAGTGGGGATGGGGAAGTATGCCCCGGATCTTGCATAAGGGCTGGACTTGCAGAGGGGCTGGACTCTGTAGGGAAGCATGTACAGGGGGATGACTAAGAGGTTTTGAGCCCTCAAGGCATGGCCTGAGGTGACTGTGCACATTTTTCCCTATGGAACACCCACCAAATCTTTCACTAAAATGCCTGGGGACTGAGGAAAAGGAACACTGGGAGCTGTGTCCTACTCAGGAGTCTTGGGGCCTGGGACCTACAGGAAGAAGAGGGGAGTGCAGCAACCAGAGCAGGTAAAGCTGAGGGCCTGGTGCAGTCAGGCAAAGGTTCCAGATCAGGAGGTCACAGATGAAAGGTTGGTGGTCACAGGTAAGTGGTCGGCTAGGGTGCTTACCTGGAGGCAGGGAAGGTGGGACGGAACTGGTGTCTTCCAGAGACAGACCAACACCCAGCCCCACTGTCACCTGGGAGAGAGACCGAGTTTAGCACTCAGATTAATTGGTCAGAGCTTGGTGTGTGGGTTCAGATGTCGGAGAGGAAATTCAAGTGTTAGTCATTAGTGCAAGAGGTCAAAGTTTAGAGGTCAGTCAGTGGTCTCTGTTGAGTTCAGATTATGAGTCAGAGATGAGGTTCACATGTCACTGTGGGTCAAATCTGCCAGGTTGGGTGGGTGAGTGGAGGCGGTCTAAATTTAGAGTAGGAGGTCACCTGAGGCAAAGAGCAGGGTAAGACCACGAGCAGCAGCCTTCATGAACTCGGTGTTGACCCGCTGGAGGTAGGCACTGCTGAGGGAGTCCTCGTCATCTCCGTAGCTCACGGTGTGCACATGTGGCAGGGCTGACTCGTTACTGAGTAGTAGGAGCCACTGCAGGAAGGGCTCCTGTGACTCGTGCCGGCCTGGATTTTTTTGAGGGGTTGGAGCATAAGGGCAGTCATTTGGTGGGTTGTCAGGCTCTCCCTCTAGCTCATGGGATTCCCTTCAGGGAGCAGGGATCAACACTCACCCACACCCCCTCCCCACCAACCAGTCCCCATGGCAGTACCAGGGTTACTGTAGACCCAGGTGGAGATGTTGGCGCCAGCACTCATCAGGTACTGCACATCTAGACTGGCCTCGATCCCGGCCAGGCCCCGACCCTGTTGTCCGACCACACGGGCTACTGATGCCTGGTGTGCAAACTTCCCACCAAAGAGGCGCATGAACTCAGCCAGGTCTGAGTCATGGAAATACTGCTCCAGGAACTATGGAGGGAGTCAGAGCAGATATCATGGGTCAGAGGATGCAGCCCCAAGGGTCAGGACAGGGGGTACTGTCCCAGATCACAGGATAGGGGATGAGAGCCCGGGGGTTAGAGTCAGAAAGCAAGCGCCAGGCTGGTTGGGCACCTTGGGAAGGCTGTGAGGACCCTGGGGCTCTCTGCATGGCTCACCTGGGCACAGGCTTGACTGTTGTTGGTTGTGCCAGAGCCCACGTCTTGTGCTGTCAAGTTGTATCGCTCACGGATCACAGATGGGGTCACCCCCAGGTGCAGGCCAACAGTCCCTGCCACCTGTGACTCAGGGCGTTGCTTCAGGGATGATGTTGGGGGAAAGCGGTGCAGTCCTCCAACTGTGGGGAAGGGTCACACTTGAGGAGGAGATCTTTTATTTTTTAATTTTATTTATTTATTTTTTTGGTGAGGAAGATTGGCCCCGAGCTAACATCTATTGCCAATCTTCCTCTTTTTGCTTGAGGAAGATTTGCCCTGAGTTAACATCCGTGCCACTCTTCCTCTATTTTGTATATGGGATGCTGCCACAGCATGGCTTGATGAGCAGTATGTAGGTCTGCACCCGGGATCCGAACCTGTGAACCCCAGGCCACTGCAGTGGAGCATGCAAACTAAACCACTACACCACCGGGCCAGCCGGAGGAGATCTTTTAGACTCCAACCCCCACCTTACTGCTGACC